CTTTCCCTCCACTGGGATCACCCCAGGGAGACATGTGGGGCAGACCCCCAGCCCACCGCCCAGCTGACCTGTGTGGGGAGTGGGGGCTTCTCAGGGGCCAGGAGGCTGCCGGGGATGTCAGACTGGTAGGAGTTGGGGGGGGGACCCGGTGCAAAGTCACTTAGCGTCGTTGACCCGGGAGCTCCAGGGGGGGGGAATGGCTCGGGGGAGCTCCCGGGGGCTGGGAAGCTGGGGGAAGCTCCCGGGGGCTGGAAAGCTGGAACCTGCAGGAGGAAAGGAGGTGATTGCACGTGGAAGGAGGGCACGGGCAGGGCCCAGCCATGTCTCCTGCGGGGGCCCCCCATACCTGCGGAGCCGTAATCGGAGGGAGCAGCCACTGGGTGTGGTGGCAGCGCTGGGAATGGCACCGAGCTGGGCCCCAGGGCTGCGATCATCTCCATGATGTTGGGCAGCACCATGTGTGTGGGGCTGAGGGTCCGGCAACGCTTCAGCACCGGTCCCTCTGGCTCCTCCTTGACATGGAGGTCAGGTTTGACTGGGACGGGTTTCCAGCTGCAGGTCGGGTCGATGGTGATCTCCTCGTGCTCCGAGCTAGAGGCAGCAGGAAGGCTGGAGGGGTGCAGCGTGGCTGCATAGCCCCTCAAGGGTGGTGCCAGCCACAGACATATGGACTGATGGACTGGGGACACTTACTTTTGGATGTAGATCAGGATGCCCAGCATGTACTGGTCCACCTCCAGTCCCTCCAACAGGGCTGTCTTACTGCAGGCAGGGAGAGGTGGGATGAGGGCAGCAGAACCCCACCACAGAGTGGGAAACCCCACTGTGGGCAGGGAAACTGAGGCATGACCCTGCTGGGCCCTCACTCACTTGCAGACAGGACACCGCCATGTCCCCCTCTCACAGTTGAGCTGCAGGTAGGACTCAAGATCGAAGCACTGTGGTGGAGAGCAGCAGCTGAGCTAGGGTAGGGACACAGGGGGTACAGCACAGGTGGGGGGGACACCCCACAGCTCCTACCCACTCCCACCTGTATATGCCGGCAGTCGTGGCCCCTAGCTGGGAGCTGGATCCTCCGGAAGGTGATGGGACACTTGAGGGATACCTTGATAGCTGTCTGCTCCACGCCATCCTCACCATTGGGCCCCGGGGTCCCTGGGATGGTCCCACTGTTGAAGTTGCGCTTGACTGGGGGAGGGAGAGGGGTCAGAACCAGGACACCAGAAGTGGGGGGGCACCATGGTGGCATCTGGTGCCCCATCACCCTGTACCATACTGCAGCACCATGCTGCACCCAGATGAGTGTGTCCCCTTCACAGCAGGCTGCACCCCTGGACCGGTGTGTGTCCCCCTACACTGGGGTGTCCCACACACACCATGCTGCAGCCCAGGACCGGGGTTCCCCTCCCCCGATGGTGCTGCAGCCCCCCCACGCTCACTTTTGGTGATGCAGTGCTCAGCAGGGAGCAGGCGCTTCTTGATGAGTCCCTGCAGCACTGAGCGCACCGAAGGCCGGTGCACCAGCTGCAGGACAAAGAGATGGGACTGGGGAGAGAAAAACAGGACTGAGCTGTGGCCCCAGCCAGGCTCCCCACACCTCAGGGCACCCCAGGACTCACACAGCAGCAGGCAGTGACAGTGATCTGGATGGTGTTCCTGCCAGGCTGGCAGACATGCTTCAAGTAGAGTGGCTTGTGGGAGGTCTTGTTGTCACCACGCTCAATGGTGAGTGGCGTGGCATTGACGCTGACCTGCACAGAGGCCGGCCAGTTGGTGTTCATCTGCCGGTCCTCGTGGTGGTAGCACTTGAACTGCAGCTCCAGGTCAGGCCTGGCAGGGCCATGGGCAGGGGTAAGGGCAGGGGTGCTGCAGGCAAGCCACTGCCCCAGGTGCCACCATGCCAGGTCCCACCATGCTGAATCAAACCACATACCCACCACCCCAGATGCCCCTGCACCATGCAGCACTGTGCCACATATCACCATGCTGTGCCAAGCACACACCATTTGCCACCACACCAAGCCAAGCACATGCCATGTGCCATCATGCCAAGCACCACTGTGCCATGCTGAGACACAGCAGGTACCACCACACTGTGCCATGTACCACTGTGCCCTACAGCATCATGCTGTGCCAAGCCACACCAAGTACCACCACTGTACATCACCGTGACACTCCACACCATGCAGCACTGTGCACGCCAAGCCAGGCACCACTGTGACAAACCACATCATTTAGTGCCACAGAGCAGTGCCAGGCTGAAACACACCATGCAGTGCTGTGCCAAGCCATGCCACATACCACTGGCACACTGCAGCACTGTGCTGAGCCATGCCACACAGCAGTGCACAGAGATGAGCCCTGCAGCACAGCACAGCACCACACACCACACCACACCACACACCATGCATGCTACGTCATGCCAGGCTGAGCAGCACGGCATCATGCCGTGTTGTGCCAAGCCACACTGTGCTGTGTGTGCCAGGCCCAGCAGCACTGGATAGGGCCATGAGCAGGATGCTGTGGCACTCAGTGCCAACGAAAGCCGTGCAGCCCCGGCCCCCTGCTCCTCCTACCTCATCATCAGGGTCTTGTAGACGGAGTCGCGCAGCTGGAAGACGTGGTTGCTGACAGCCAGGTTGTGCTGCAGGCGGAAGGGCTCCAGCACAACCCCATCCCGCACCGGGAAGGTCAGTCGCAGCTCCTCCCCCGGGGCCGGCCCTGCTGGGAGAGCGTCACCAGGGACCCAGGGCCCCAGAGGGACGCCCGGCAAGCCCCACCCACCACCAGCAGGCAGCACAACCCCTAGAGAAGCCTCTCCCCATCCCTGTAGGGAGCCCGTCCCAGTGCCCAAGACTCCACCCACTCCGCGATCCCCCTCCCCTATGCAAGCTGCTCCCAAAGAGGCCCCACCCCCACAGCAGAACCCCCTCCCACTAAGTCCCCGCTCTTTCCTAAGCCCCTCCTACTACTCATAGCCCCGCCTCCTTCACAGGAAGCCCCTCCCACTGCCTCAAACCACCCTCTCATTGAGCAGTGCCTGTGAGGACCCCCTCAAACCCTGGCAGTGCCACACCCCCCTGCTCTGAAGCCCCTCCCTTTTCCTTCGCCCCTTCCCCACATTAAAGGGGCAATGGCAACTGGTTGCCAGCAGTAAGGCACACAGTTCGTGCCTCAGGTGGGGTCTCTGTGCTGTGGCCCCTTTAGCCCCCTTGTTCCCAGTAGGCACCCACCTGGGGGGGATGGGTGCAGGGAAGTGATGTTGGGTTTGATGTCCGGCAGGAACGGCGACTTGACGTCCTGACCCGAGGCAGCGTATGGGGGGAGGCTGCTGCCCGGCGTCATGGGCGGCGTGGGGTTCCCAGCCAGCGGCGAGCTGGAGTAGCCCGGCAGCGCCCGGCCCGGCTGCCGAGGCACCGTGCAGCCTCAGGCGGCGTCGACGCACCCCGCCCCCCCCGCACCACCCGCCACGCCCAGCCAAACTCACCCCACTGACAGCTGCCTGGCTGTAGGTGCTGAAGCTGGTGTTCTGCCCGTTGAACTGCTCAGCTGGCTGTGGGAGGAGGGTCCTGAGTGTTGGCACCAGGGGATGGCAGAATCCCCAGCCCCCTGCCCACTGTACCCTCTTCGGTACCTTGTAATAGGGTCCAGTGTTGCCTGAGGCAGAGAGGTACTGACCCATGGCCTGCTGCAGCCTGTGACCAGGGTAAGAAGGGGACGGAGCGGAAGGCTGGGGGGCACTGGCAGTGTACTGGGCACCAGCTGCAGCATACTGCCCACCCTGAAGGTACTGCTGTGCCGGGTATCCCTGTGGGGCCAGGAGTGTCAGTACTGACAGGTGGAGGATGG